TGTGTGTGTGTGTGTGTGTGTGTGTGTGTGTGTGTGTGTGTGTGTGTTGGGGGGGGCGGAGTTGGTGGATCGTAAATGTGGAAAACTGAGAAAAAACATCTGGAGGGAGATTCAGATTCCACCACACTCCAGACTGGTGGATGAGTGAGTGGACTTCCCTGCCCTGTCCTTTCCTTTCCATGGTCTCTTTGGAAGGCACTGTAAGACAGCTAGGTGAATGAAAGGCCTGAGAGGAGAAAGGAGCCTTCCCTTGGGAAGGGCTGGCTGGGGCACGAAGGTAAGTTAAGTCGAGTCTGTTGCTACTTTGTCACGATATATTCTCACCAAGAACTGGTCTCACTCCTTTGAGTGGCGTCGATGGGAATTAGCCATGGCTGGAAAGCATTAGTTGCCAAATCATTCTAAGATGTACTGCAAAACCACTTTTCTATTTTTTTTCTCCCTCCCTTCTGCCTTGACCATGTTAGGATTTCTTAATTCCCACCGACAGGCACACAAGAGACAGCTCCGGCACACATGTGAGTGTGCAGAGCCTGGGGAGCGTGTGCGAGTACACAGATCACCTCCATCCCCAAGCTGAACCATCGCTGTGCAGCTGTGTGTCACAAACATTGGCCCAGCTACTCACAGCAAAGCATTTCTCTGCTCCAGGCTGGGGGAATGCCCAAGTCTTCCAGGACCCTTAAGCGTTACTGGACAGTCAGACCTACTGAGAACAGCCTTGGCAGTCACTGCCATCTCCCAGAGCTTGCATCGAGGTGGGAGAAGGAAGAAGTGCAGCCTCCAGGGCAAGGCGCGCACCCCCAGCTGGAGAGAATGCAGGCCAGCATCATAGGCTGACCAGTTGTGTCCTGTCAGGAAGCCAGCTGCCTCTGAACCCACCAGAGGACTTACTGTATTGTTCTGGGCACAATCGAATAGATGAGACCAACCCCAGCTCTGGGCAAGCGGTGGTTGGAGAAAAGGTTGCCTCCAGGGTCAGGATGACAGGGAAGGGGAAGCAGCTTTTAGGCTAGATACTGAACAGGAAAGCAAGGAGCCGGCGCTAGGGCACGACCCTCGACTACACGTCGTGCGTGGAGCTTAGAGCACATGGCCAGCACAGGAAGCCGCTGGGGTGCGGGGGGCTCTCCTCGTGCAGTTGCCGGAATTTGAGAGTCGGGTTAAGGAGCACAGGCGCTCGTGCCAGTAAAGCAAAGGACTGAATCAGGCCTGAGTTGAAAGAACCATGGAAGGAGGCCGGGAGGCACGTGTCTCCCTTCAACCAGGTTTTTCTACCAAATCTTTGCGTAATTAAGTTAATCGATCAACAGCCAAAGCCTAATTATTTCCAGGAGAGTAAAAGAATAGGCCGGGAGCCGGGGCTCAATCCAAGTTCACTTCCCAAAATATACGCAGTGGGAGAGAGCCCAAAAGGAGCAGGGACGCGGGGAGTTCCATTCAGCCCAGCATTCTAAGGACAAACTTAGGGGAGCTCACGCTCGCCCTGCCCTACAAAGCCAGGCTAGTAGCAGAGCTCCGGAGGTCCGGGGCGGGGGCACCGCGGACCGAGTTAGAGGAACCGGGCTGCCAGCTGGGGCCAAAGGCTCCCGCCTCGTGCGGGCTCCGAGGCATCACCGGTGCTAAGGACCACAACCCCTGAACCGGTCCCTGACGTCGACCGGCTCTCCCACTCCCACCCAGCTCAGGGCCCCTCAGGGCGGCAATACCAGCCCACCTGGGACAAGGAGCACGGAGCGGTCCCCCCAACGTCCACTCGCATTTCACCTGTGCAGGTGAGCTTCCGCGCTACCTCTCTTTCTGGGGCATCCCGGGGTCCCCGAAACTCCGATCCTTCTCCTACTTCAAGTTTCCCGACTGACTCTGGACTCAGACTTTCCCCAGTCTCTCAAGTGACACGATCGCCCCCACGCCCCTCCCGTCTAGGTCCCACTGGGTTGACCTGACCTGGCACAGAGCAGGGTACTCACAGGGTGATGGTGCCGTTTGGCAGGAGCCCGGGGTCTGGAGGCTCGGGGAGGTCCCCTCCGCCGCACACCACCCTCCGGCGAGCCGGGTTGTGGGCGCCGCCACTTAGTCCCTTGGGCCGCTCCCCAGAGCACTTGCAACCGCGGATAGGGACCGGGCAGCCGGGCGCACCCCGAGTTCCGGGAGCCAGGAGCAGAAGGCACGGCAGCAGCGGCAGCAGCAGCAGGCGCGCGGGGGGCACCGGCATCCTGCGTCCCCCTGTGCCCATCAACCCATCGCCCCGCGGGGACCTACAGCGCAGGGGCCGGACGGCGCGCCCGCCGGAGGGACCCGGGCGTGCTGGAGGCGTGCTCAGCGGGAGCCCGGGGCGCCCGAGGGCGGGGCGGGGGGCCATGGGCGGAGGCAAGCCTCGGGGTCCCCGCTGCAGCGCCCCGGGGGCATGGCTTGCGAGCACCCGGGCCGGGCGGGACGAGGGCGCCGCTGACAGCGCAGCGCGGGTGGCCCCGGCGGCGCAGCCCGAGTCTCAACGTAGCGCTCCCAGCCCCCGGGAGCCTGTCCCCTGCGCGCCGCCGGCTCGCCCTGCGCGCGGCTGGGACCTAGCGGATCGCGCCGGGCTCCCGCTGCTGCCGCTGCCGCCGCGGCTCGGTGCCGTGGATGGGGGAAAGCTCGGCGCCGCGCCTCTCCCGCCGCCGGCCCCCGCCCGCCTCCCTCACTGCCTCGTCACTCTGCGAGGCCCTAGCGCCGCCCGATACCCAGCCAGGCGGCTGCCCTCCTTCAAGTGCAAGCCTTGAAGACAGCTTGAACCCACCCCCATATCCCTGTCACCTACCCTGAACCAAGACTGTTTTCCTTCTTGACTCTTTCTACTGGCCAGGACCCTTTCTTTCCACAACCTAGCTCAGCCCTCTAAACCAACCATCACTTTCCACAAAACTGTCCCTCACCCAGCCCACACACCCTTGTTCCTAGGACTTTTGTTGAAGTCCTAGGTGGAGGACTGCTCCTCGATAGAGATTGAGCTTTGCTCAGCGTCTAAGGTTTCTCTTGAACTCTGATACGATGGGCCAATCTAAAGTTGACTCTCACCGTCTTGTTCCCACCCTCAAACTTCCACTGAAGCCACAGCAGGAGGACACAAGACTGAGACAAGGAGGCCATAGACCTTACCCTGTGAGCAGTGACCTTGCCCAGCAGGAGGTGCATGTCATTAGGCCAAGGAAAGGTCAAAGGTTACGGCAGATACTGCCAGAGTTAGCCTCCTGTTAATGCACGTGTGTGTGTGTGTGTGTGTGTGTGTGTGTGTGTGTGTGTGTGTGTGTTTGGTGGGGTGGGGTGGGGAAGCAGTAAATGAAACAGGAGGAAATAAGAGAAGGCCCTGGGATCTGTAATTGGGTGTGGGCAGAGCACTGTACCATGAGACAGGGCTTCCCAGTCTAGATATTGAGGCCCAGTGATGCCTTTAGCTGTCTGACTTTGGACACAGCACTTGTAGCACCTCGGGTGTGTGTAATCTAGTGGGTCCTAGGAGCTTGTCCAGTTGTATAAGAATGTAAAGTGGGGCGTGAGAAGGAGGAAGAAGGACCTATGTAGGGTCTCACCTTGACAACTGGGGAAGAGAAAGAAGGTGCCTGTGGACACTCTCAAAAAAGCAACAGCAACAACAACCAATGCCTGTGTGAGATAAACGTAAGGTGATGACAATTGAAAAAAAATGCTGGGTCTGAGGACCCAGGGTTTTGCCTTCCCAGTTTCCACACAAAAGATGACCTTTTTGTCACTTAATAGAGCCCTTGCTGCTAGGTAGCAGGGCATCTTCAGGGCTGAGGTGGAGCTCCTTCTGTGGCAGCATAGTAACCGCACCTTGGCCCTGCTGGGGTGCTCAGTAGCTTTTCTGCCACTGTGGCCTTTGAGACAAACCTCCCATTCCGTCGCAAGGAAGAAGCATCTCTCCCTGGCCTGACGGCAACAGACACTAGCTTCTTTCTTAGCTTTCCCTCACCAGATTGCCTGGTCAATCCCTGTTGTAGGCTCTGTTTCCTTGAACTTCCAAAGAAAAATAAATAGTGATTGCAAATGGAGGAAATGAGAAGTGGAATGGACACTCCCAGCAGGAGCCTTAGGGCTGGCCTAGCGGAGGCTGCATTCCTCAGGAAAGGGGCCAGAGATGGGCAGAGACCAGGCACACAGACCAGGCACGCTGCCTGTCTAACCAGTGCGGGCCAGAGACACTCAGAGAAGAGCTGAGAGGCCTCTGACTGAGTCACGGATTCTCTGTGACTTCTTTTTGCTGAAAGACTAAGGCTCAGGGGAAAGTCTCTTGGCCCATGAACCCTCTGAGGCTCACAAATTTCAGATGACATTGGCAGGCTATTGAGGGTAGGTACACCGCCGTAGGCACAAGATGCCTGGTGGGGACATTTACACGGCTCTCCTGCTCTGATGGGCATCATTTGACTCCTGCCAAATGCATAAGGTTTGGGGTATACGTCCATTTTGTAAATATAGAGGAAAAAACATGAGTCTCAAAGAGCAGGAGTGGGCATTTCCCTTTGAAATCCTTTCTGACCGACCCCTGAGCTGCTCAACACTTTTACCCATAGGCTGTATTCTCCTGCCTGTGCTTGGTGTGGGTGTGATCTTTCTGTACTTACCTACAGTTGCCACTACTTGGGAAGCTGAGGCTTGTTGTTCACCTGACCCCAGAAGTTAATGACAGACTTTATGTGACTGTGTCTTCAACACAATCAGGGTCTCATGCATCCCACGTTGGCCCAGAACTCACTGGATAGCCAAGGATGATTTTGAACTCCTGGCCTTCCTATCCATACCTCCCAGGTACTAAGGTTACAAGAGGATGGATCCTTGCCCATTTATGCAGTGCTGGAGGTAGATGGTAGCCAGGGCTTTGTGCAGATGAGGCAAGCAAACACTGTACTAACAGTCACAATCCCAACTCCCCAACCCCCGAAGTCTTGTTTTGAGGCTTCCTTTTTGAGATAGAAGGGCAACTCACCCTTTATTCCCATCCTCAAGCAATCTAGTTAAGGAGCCTGATTAAATATATGTTATTGGCAGGAGGAGCAAGAGTTGGCTTTGGCTAGCCTTGACTACATACCACATTGGAGAACAGCCTAGGATATCTGAATGTCTATCTCAAGAAATGTAAATAAATTAAAATCATGTATACATATACACATATGTGTGTGTCTGCATTCGATGTATGCATACAATACATGTATTAGTGCTAAATGCTTACACTACAGTTCATCTTCTCTCCACACTATACTGAACAGGCCTTTCAGTAGAAGATAGGAGTGACTACAAGACAATGGAAAAGAATGGCTGACCAAGGGCAGAGACCTGTTTCTAGTCGAGCAAATTCCATAAATGTTGGGGAGTTCACATACATTAGCTTGCTTCTCTTCTTTCTTTCTTCCTCCCCTCTTCCTTTTTGATAGGTTCTTGTTGTGTGGCCCCAGCAAGACTGACACCCTTATATAGCCTAGGCTGGCCTTGAACCTCAAAATCCCCCAGTTTCCACACCTTGGGTGTTTGTATCACCATGCCCACCGCCTACCTTACTCTTTAAAGAAGTTGGTGGCACTTGGCTAACTTCCGTGCCTGGCTTGTTTTCACTAATATAATGAGTGTGCTTCTGCAGATTATAGAATTTTGTTTTCTCCTTTATTATGCCCATATATCACCTTTATCCATTTATAGGCACCTTGGTTCTGGCTTTCTGTAGCGCAGCAGGATAACTGTTGCTTGTAATAGTCCATGATCTAGTTCTCCCTTTTCTTTGTGGTTCTGGGGATCAAACCCAAGGCTTGTATGTGGTGAGTGAGAACTCTGCCACCTACTGCATGCTCAGCCTATATGCCGCATTTCAGAAGAGCTATAGAAGGACCGGCAAGTGGGAATTTTTACTAGTCATGTGTAAGGAGAACAGACGTACTTTTAGTTTTTACTTTTGGTTTTTTGATACAGGATCGTACGTAGCCCAGGCTGGCCTTAAATGACCTCAAAAGCCTGATCTTCCTGTGTTCATCTCCCATATGCTGAGCTTACAGGCATGTATCATACCCAGCTTGGGAACTGCTTATTATACTAATTTGACAATTACATCTTGTGAGTACATAAACAAAATTGTTGCACAGTTATGCATAACATGTACAAATACTCTTATCCAAAAGTTTCTGAGTTTAGTGTGGAGACCCACGAGTGCTACAACCCCAGCACTTAGAAGACCCAGCTAGGAGGGCCCTGAGTTATAGACCAGCCCAAGAGCTTGTCTCAAAGAAAGAAGAGGAGATAGGATTTGGTAGAGGGAGGACAATTGAATTTTTCTTTGTTTTCAAATATCTGGTGTCTATGGCCTGTCTGTCTACCTATCTGTCTGTCTGTCTGTCTGCCTGCCCTTTATTTGTGTGTGGATGTGTGCCTCTGTGTGACATATGTGCTTGTGAAGCCCAGAAGAGAGTGTTACGCATTATTCTGATTAGGTGGGGTGTTTTTTTTTTTTAATTTTGTGTTTTGTTTTGTTTTGTCACTAGACACAAGCTAGACTCACCTAGGAAGACAAACTTCAATTGAGAAAATACCTTCAGCCCATTGAAGTGGTGCACACAGCGCACCTGAGGCAAGAGGATCGCTTGAGTTCAAGGCCAGCCTGGTCTACAAAGTGAGTTCCAGCACAGCCAGGGCTATGTAGAAAGACCCTGTTGAGGAAGGAAGTAGGGTAGGAGGAAAAGAGAGGCAGGGAGGAGGAGGGAAAAGGAGAGAAGGGGGGTACTTTTATCAGATGAGCCTGGAGGCAAATGGGACATTTCTTTTTGTTAATGATTTATGTGGAAGGGTCCTGCCTACTAAGGGGTAGGTGGCACCCCTGGGCGGGTGACCCTGGGAAAGATGAGGAAGCAGGCTGAGCAAGCCATGAGGAACAAGCTAGTAAGCAGCTTTGGGTCATGGTTTCTGCTTCCATTTTTGCCTTGTGTCCCTGAGGATTGAATTGAGTGTGCCAAGTTCCTGCTCTGACTTCTCTTCATAATGAATCGACTATAAGCCATAAGGTGAAATAAGATCTTCCTTCCCCAGTTTGCTTTTTGGTCATGGTGTTTACTGCAGCAATAAAAAAAAGAAGCTATAACAGACATCCTCCTTTATCAGTCTCTGATGATTGCTTTGAGGCAGGGTCTCTCCCTGAATCTGAGGCTCACATTTTCTTAGCTAGCACGAAAATAGCATTCCTGCTAGGAACCCCCAGGGATCCTCCTTTCTCCACCCATCCCAGGGTTTGGATTGTAGGCCTGCAGGGGGATGTTGTTACATTGGTGCTGAGATCCAAATTCTGGACCTCATGATTGCTCAGCAAGTGCTCTTAACCACTGAGCCATCTCTCACCCCTGAGGATGATGGTTCTAACATTTTGGAAACTAAGGGGTAAAGAGGCACCAACTGAAAATGAAAAACCTAGGATTTGAACAAAAGCCAAGAACATCCATACTTTCTTCCAGAGATGGGATGGAACCCAGAGACTGAGCACACTCAGATTCTTTATTGCTGAGCACCACACTCTCCAGCCCAGTGTCCAATAACCACTTCCTTTT